AATGCGGTTTAGTTCCGTCAAAAAGTCCTTTACGAAGGTAAATTTCCCCCAATACTTGATCCGGGAGTTCCCTCGTCTTCAGGATTGGGTTCAAAATTACAAGGCTACGGAGTTGAGCACTGGTAGCCGTAAACTCAAAATTTGGGTCTGCTGTTTAACGACGGTTTAAAATAAAATGGAATAAAAAATTTAACTTTTGGCTATTAGTTCGAGAATTATTGACAGTTGAAATTGTGAACTCCTCTGCAGTTTGTATAAATGAAATTACAGAGTTGAAATTTGACGAGCTAAAAGAACTCTTTTCACTTAAAAAATTAATGGGAGTTTTTTTTCCTTCTTTTTTTTTCTTGTTTGGAAGTTATAGTAATTTTGTGAGTTTTGTGTAATTTTGTGAGAAAAGTTTATATTGCTCTAGATCTTCTTTTTATAAGCTCGTGCTTCACTTTATGTCAAAAGTAATTGAATAAATCAATAAAAAATGAATATAATCAAAATGAGAATGAGAATTTAGATGTTGACAAATACAAATCTTAGCATTTATATATAATAGACTCAAGAAAGATATAAATTCACTCTAATTTGAAGCGTAATAGGATATAAAGTTATCGTTAGATATTGTAAACAATTCAAACTATTTCTCACTTATTACTTTTTATTATATCGCATATTTTATATTAATTTTAAATATTTTTTTGTAGTTTTTTATCTTTTAAATCTAAGTATCACTTCAATCTGTTAAAGTTAAAAATTATTCTTACATGATATAATAATATCTATTTATTTAATAAACAAAATTATTATGATTATTTTAATCGAATTTTAAGGGGAGAAAATTGTGCTTATATGAAATTATATTAACTATATATTTTATAAACAAATATATTATAATTATTTTTAATCGAATTTTAAGGGGAGAAAAATGAGAATCAACCGATAAAGTATTGTAAAAAAAAAACTGATATCTCGAGCAATAATTCTCATAAAGATGAAGTTTTAAAACAGTTACATTTATAATGATGGCAACGAAAGTGGTTCTTTTGAAATAGAAACTCAGCGACGTGAATCGAGGAAAGTTACATTTTTCTCCAGTAAACGCCATTGTTTTTCCAACATTCATTTCATTATGTAACTCAAACCAAACAATACTTTTTGAGGGAAACAAATTAAGAAACATAAAATTAGCTGTTGTGTTATCTCATAAAAACCGACTTTTTTCTCTCAAATTATCATACAATTTGAATCGTTGATTTCTCAAGATTTGATCTCAATTATTGTGCTTTTCTTTATTTTTACAAGAAATGAAGTTTGAAGTTGAAGAGCTCAGAGTTACACATGCTGTCACACTTTTCGATATTTTTGACCTAGCTCCCCCCCCCCTTCTTTTTCACAATGTGTCACACTTTACTATGTGTCCCCTTGTCCCTTGTTAAGCTATGTTATGCTGACAGTTCAGTTAAAAAACACCAGTTACAAATCATAATTCATATTTTATTTTAATTATATTTTATTTTAATCATAATTTATTTAAATCATATTTTATTTAAATCATATTTATTTAAATCATATTTTATTTAAATCATATTTTATTTAAATCATATTTAAATCATATATTAAATCATATTGAAATCATATACTAAATCATAAATATTAAATCATATTTAAATCCTATTTTGTTTAAATCAAATTTTATTTAAATAATATTTTATTTAAATCATATTTTATTTAAATCATAATTCAAATTTTATTTTAAATGATAGATGTGAAAATGTGCACAGCAATAATAATGATTGGAGGCGTACTTATTCCGATGAAAAGATGAAAAACAATAAGAAATATTAAGGGACCATTCAAACATTACTTAAGCAGCTAAAAGAGATGTCTGCAACTAAATTTATTAAACTAAAGCAACTAAATTACGTAAACGACAAAAAAATTTATTACAAAATTTCAAAATTCAAAATTTCAAAAATGAATTTCAAAATTTTTAAAAATTTTATTTGTTTATTTTTTTGCTGACAAAGGGGAGAAGAGGTATAAGCAAAGTTTACTTCAGATATTAAACATCCCTTAGTTTCACTTCCTTAAAAGGCAAACTATGAAAAATAAATAAAATAAACAAATTACACGTGGAAAAATTTCAAATGGAGAATATAAGTTAAACTTTACAAAAGAAAAAAAAGAAAATTTAAGGATTTGAGTGTTTTTTTCCAATAATGCGACGTAAAATTTCTGTTCTTAAACAAACATAAAATTGCAAAAATCAGAAATAGTTATAATCCTAATGATGAAATTATACTATTTAGATTACTTTTCAATATTATCGGCCATAAATTACAAGAAGTAATATAAAAATTCTGAAAGCCAAATTCAGCTCCCTTGAATTTTTTAATCGGCGTAAAATAACATTTCGGGAATGATTACCCATAAAATAAACAATACGAGAAATTGAAAGCGCTCGTTTTTGAACACATAGGAGTGCTTTCTTTTAACAAAAACATTTTTAATCACCATTTTTAAACTTTAGTTCCCCTTCACATCATCAAAAATTATGTTATTTTTAATGTTAAACTTAAGTTTATAAAGTTTATGTTATATTTATGTTATTTCGAACTGTGAGGGTTCAGCGGATCGCCTTCCAATGAGGTGTACCAGGCTCGAATCCCAGTGATGGCTGGTCGATACGAGTTCCGCATCCGGTGCACAATGATGACGTAAAATATCCTCAGTGATAGGCGGATCATGGGTTAGAGTCCCCCGCCATCTGGCTAACCGTGGGAGGTTTTCGTGGTTTTCCTTTCCATGTAACGCAACTGAGGTTAGTTCCATAAAAAAGTCCTTCACGAAGACGCAATTTCTTCCAATACTTGATTCAGGAGTTCCCTTGTCTTCTGGATTGGGTTCAATTCAAAATGACAAGGCTGCGGAGTTGAACATTAGTAGTCGTGAACCCAAAAATTGGGTCGGCTGTTCAACTACGGTTTTAAAATAAAGTACCTTATTTCAACAAAATTGGTTACATTGTCCTTTCGCGATAGAAGGTTAAGAAAATTTTCCTTCCGGAAAGTATCGATCGATTTTTATTAAATTTGTCATTTTATGATTTCAAAATTAGTTAAAATTATATAAAGAATAATTAAAAATGCTCAAACTTTCAACATTTTTCGTGACCAACTAATTGAAATCATATTTTTTTATCTCGATTGCAGGCTATACATAAAACACATACTTTGAGAGTCGAGGTATTCAACTTAATTTTATTATTTCAAAAATACAACTACTAAGAATTTAATATGTCGTCAGATGAAATTTTAATGCTATTTTTCAATTCCTACTATTAGTGTCACTCTCTCCCTATACATTGTTCAAATTTTCAATCGTTAAATAAAATACTTCTTATTCAAGTTCAAATACATTTTTGTTATACCATTTTTGTTATTATAGTAATGAATGACACTTGATATTAATCAGTTTTTTTTTCAAATATTAATTTATTCATTAAATTTAATTAATTAGTTTTACTATTATATGCGCCGGGATAGCCTGGTCGGTAGGGAGCTGGGCCCTTGTCCGAGAGTTCGCGGGTTCGAAGACTCCCCGTGTAGTAAAATGGTGACTGATGCACGTTGAATCTGTCAAGTCGCAAAGTCCTCCATGTTCCCATAACAAATCAAAACCTCTGGGGGTACTGGATTGGAGATCGATCGTTCTCTGATTCATGTCAAAATTACGATCTGTGGATGAATGAATGGATGTATGAATGGGTCCACCCTATAAACGGGTGCGATGAATGGGTGTGACAGAAGTCGAATTCTTGGACATAGATGGCGCCACTGGAAAACAGGAACAATCGTCCCCCTTTGACTAAACAGACATACGAAAACAGTAAACAACAACAATATTATATGCGAGAAAAAATGTTAGTTATTTAATAAAAAGTAACTAAAATAAATTTTTCTCTGTTGTCCTAAGTAGGAATTGACTTTAAATTTTTTAATTACTTTTATTACTTGTTGCAATAATTCGAGGTTGCAATTTGCTTAGCCAAATTTACGTTATTTGCGTTTCATGCTAATTATGAAAACGCTAACATGAAGTATTGCGTTTGTGATATATATTTTTTTTATATTAAAAACGCGGTTTTGTTTGGGCCCATGACGTTTCCCCAAATTTAGAATTATTCATTCATTTTAATGATTTTTTTTTTTACCTAGGTGGAAAATCTCACCAATTTTTTTTTTTTTTTAATGGAAAAAAAGCATTTTTCAGTCCCAAATAATTCTTGCTCGTACCGCTAAACAGTTGATGGCTGCAGATAAATAAGTGTTGAATCACTAGTTTTTTGCCCACATATTTGTGCTCATTAAAAGTCATTAAGGCTCAAAAGTGTGTCTTTGTTATTTTCTTCAAGTAATTTGTTGATTGTATTTGATTCTTTAAATGAACAAACAATATAAACAAAAAAAAAATTTCTAAGTCAATTCTTACTTAAAAGTCAACAAAGAAACTTTTTATTATAGTTACTTTTTATTAAATAATTAAAAACTTTTATCTCATATAAAACTGAAATTAATTAATCAAATATAATGAATGAATTAATATTTGAAAAAAACTGTATTAACATCAAGTGTTATGGACTACAAGTTCAAAAAAATGTATTTGAAATTGAGTGGATGAATTTAACGCATTTTATTTAACGATTGAAAATGTGAACAAGATATAGGGAGTGTATGAATTGAATAAATGACATTATTTTAATATCTTTATCTAACATTTCAAACAGTTTGATTCTTTGTATGGATGATTTATTTTTTCCAAACTAATGTGTTGATTATAGATAGCGAAAAATAACTAATATAATATAATATTTACTTAAGCATAGATCAACGTTTTCCAGCAAAAATTTTATTTTTACATAACGAGTAGGTAACAGGCAGATGCACTTTAAGTTGACAAACTGCATGTTCATAAAAAGATGAATAAAATTTTATATTCTGTTGCAGGGCCTCTCCTTCATGGCATTGATCCTACTGACATGTCGACTTCACGAAGTAGACCGGGAAGTAGGCTACCTACAGGCTGTCATCAACGACTGGTTTCCCCATCCTGACACAACAACACCTGCTCAGCAAGCCACCCCCGCAAACAGATATTTAAATTTACTCCAAGAAGAACTCATCCAATTCTATTTACGTAAGAATACATTTCCGTGTAGAACAAAAATTTTCCTCTAAATTAATTGGCCAAATTATTCGACCCACTATACGATTCTAACATAAAATCTTAATTATCAGGTGATACACTATACAGCTTTATTGTTTTTACGCGACTGAAACCGGTTTGCACTTGTTTACGTTCGTGTAACAGTTGGTTAGCATTGTAATGCAATACGCTAAAAACAAATACAAATAGGAAGTATGTAAAAAAAATCTCATGAANTTTGATGTAAAATCTTTATTATCAGGTGATACTTTAAGCTTTATTGTTTTGACGCGACTGAAACTAGTTTGCACTTGTTTACGTTCGTGTTTCAGTGGGTTATTTTAGGCGATATATCACATAAATTCGACGATTGGATAAATTAGACGATATATTATATAAATATAGAATATTTATTATATCAAATATTATATAAGTATATTATAATAAACGGACCAAATTATTAAGACGCACTATAAGATTTTATGTAAAATCTTTATTATCAGGTGATACTTTAAGCTTTATTGTTTTGACGCGACTGAAACTAGTTTGCACTTGTTTACGTTCGTGTTTCCGTAGTTTATTTAAGCGATATATCACATAAATTCGACGATTGGATAAATTAGACGATATATTATATAAATATAGAATATTTATTATATCAAATATTATATAAGTATATTATAATAAACAGACCAAATTATTAAGACGCACTATAAGATTTTATGTAAATTCTTTATTATCAGGTGATACTTTAAGCTTTATTGTTTTGACACGACTGAAACTAGTTTGCACTTGTTTACGTTCGTGTTTCCGTAGGTTATTTTAGGCGATATATCACATGAATTTGACGATTGGATAAATTAGACGATATATTATATAAATATAGAATATTTATTATATCAGGTATTACATTAGTATATTATTAATAATTCAAACAAATCATTAGACGTATTGTAGTGTTCTAATAATTGCATGTTTTGTACGAGTTTGTATGCAATACTTTTATATTTAAACATACATGTAATGGGTTTTCATTCAGGCGATTTTTTACACACTTCCTATTTGTATTTATTTTTAACGTATTGCATGACAATGTTAACCCTAATAGACGAATGTGTCCAAACAGTCTCGTTAAAACAATAAAGCTGTATTTATAGTATCATCTGTTAAGTAAGATTTTGCATAGAATCTTAAAGTGCTTCTAATAATTTAGCTAGGAACTGTATTTCTCGATTTTAAAATTTAATTAAGTGAATGAGAAATGTAATTCCACCATTCTTTGTTCTCTTCGCTTTAATGAGGTATTAAATAATTTATAATTCAACTCGAATAATCGAAAGTATCAAATTTCATTACGTAAAAATTTTTAAAAGTAGTAGCTATTTTTAAACATTATGTGGGCCTATTTGTGTATCAACAACATTAATAAATAAAAAATACAAAAAGAAAGAATTACTTACCACTCCAATCATCTATGTATATATGTTACGGTAAATGTGATTGATCTGGTGATTATATATAATAACCGGTTAATATGCATAATCAGCAATAAATTTGATAAATTTATTGTTGACTAGCCTCCTAAAGGTCTGGTTTCTTAGGACAAGCGCCTTATCTGGGCGTCGGCNGCATTAGCATACATTTATAAGAGTGGAGAAAAGTATATGCATTTTTGAATAGTTTTTTTAATATGGCTCTTTGAAGACGAAAAAGCATAGATTTTCTGACAAATGACTGATAACTAAAACACTAATCCAAATTTTTGAAAAAGGAAAAAAATACTTCTTCATTATGTCAAAACACAATTATGTGCCGAGTTTCGTGCCTGGGCGAGGCTTCTGGGGCGATATATTGTGATTACAGACACACACTGCCGCGTTTATTATTATGTATAGATTATGCAAATTCGAAAATTTATCAAATTAAATGATTTGTTTTCTGTTTGTTTGTATGTATGTATGTATGCCTGTTTGTTTGTATAACCCCGTATCCAAAGTTTGCACCAACCCTCTCTAGAAACACTAATTGCCAACAGAAAATTCCCAGCCTTGATATCCCACCTAAGATAATGATTAAGTGAAAAAATGAAAACACTTAAATTCAATGTAAATAAAAAATAATAACATTTAAATACCAATGTTTTCGTAGGGACAACGACATCTGCTTAAATTGTTTCAACGATATTTCGAAATACCCAACAAAGGAAATTAAGGGGTCTTTTGACCTGTTTAACTGCTTAAATTATCGGTGTAATATTTCTCTCACATGGCGGCAATCTTCCATATTTTAAGAATCATGAAACAAAACTCCTCAAAAAAAAAAAGGAATATATGGTTATTTAGAGAAAGTCTGCTTCTTTGCTCATTTCGCGAACTTAAATATCCTCTGCACCAATTAATTTGGTTAGTCCTTCAAACTATTAAGATTGAGTACTAGTACGGAAAATGAGATCAAAAGTTATAATTTTTTTTTTTTGCGCAATAGAAATAACTTACATAACTATTTTATATTACTTATATATTTATGGAAAATTAGATCAAAAGTTATCAAAATGTCCTCTTTTTTTCTTCTTTTTTTGCGCATTATAACAATAGAAATAACTTATATAACTATTTAATATAACTTCTATATTTATGAAAAATTTTACAAAAGTTATCCAGTTGTCCTCATTTTTTTCTTTTTTTGCGCACTATAACAATAGAAATAATTTATGTAATTATTTTACATAACTTATACCTTTATGGAAAATTAGAGCAAAAGTTATCAAGGTGTCCTTTTTTTGTGCAATAGAAATAACTCATATGCCTATTTTATATAACTTATGTATTTATTTTTGTCATATATTTTCATTTTGCCCATAGCACTAGAAACACTATTGTTCTTTTAAACTAAAAAGGAACGGGGAAAAAAGAGAAAGGAAAAACATGCGTTACCCGTTTTACGATTAACATATACTTTTCAGACTTTCTAGCTTTTTAAATTCAAAAATTACATTAGAGTAATTTTAGATTTTTTTTAATGTATATTTTTCACTTAGTATAATTTCTTAATAAGAATCTTTAAAAGTATCTATCGATGAAGTTTGCAAAGAAATAAAAAGCTAAATGACGTTTACTAATGGACAGATATAAAAAGGAAACAAAGTGGTCAATTCCCAGGAAGAAATCTATAGATAGTCTCTTTATTATCTATAGACACGAAATATCTAATCACGCCATCGTCCATTCAAAGGAAGTGTTGCTTCAGGCTATTCTTTAATGGGATGGGTTAAATTCCAAAATGGTATATATGGTGATTTCAGTGAACTTCGTTTACTTCCTGGGTTTGCTTTTTCATCAATTCTTGAGGAAAATTTCTTTTTCCATCAGTTGATGAGGATATCTAGAATTAAATGCATTATAAGAGAAGTGGGTTGAATAAAAATTCTAAAAAAAGAGAATTGAAAAGGTGTTATTTGTTATTGAATTCATTCTTTTTTTTTAGAACGCTTTATAAGTTAAATATCAACTGATGGAAAAAATATTTACTTCGAGGGTGTAAAGCAGGGATGGGTAAACTTTTTTGCTCGTGGGCCAAAAATTGAGAAAAAAATTGCTTGGTGAACCAAGTAAAAACTTCAAAATTTAAATATAAAAAAAGCGATATTTAAGTTTTAATTAAAATATTTAGTGAGATGAATGAAATTTCGATTTCATTNGGTTTTTACCGGTATTTACCATGGTTTTTTCCACCTGCGGCAAAATCTTGCCAACCCTGACTGTACTGTTGAATTATATGTATATATATATATATAAGATTAAGCAAACATAGCACTGATTTTCTGGGCATGAAATATTAAGATTTTGGATACTAGCTTTTGGTAATGATTTCTAAAACTCAAACATTGGCATATTTAGAAACAACTGCATCAGATGATTGCTAGATTGTCCTCTCGTTGAAGCTTAAAATGCGCAGTCTGATACATGTGAAGCATAATTCACCTATATTGGATTCCATAAGTTTGCTCCTCGAGAAAGACAAACGCCAATCTACAGCTATTCTATAAAGAACTTCTGCTTTCGACATTTTACCAATTGAAGCTGTCAGTGCTATTTCCATCAATTTATGTCTTGTAGAACAAAAATAGAGAAAGTAAAAAAAGTAATTCTTCAATTAAATTTAATTAATTAATTTTAGTTTTATGACAAAAATTGTAATTATTGAATAAAAAGTAACTAAAATAAAATTTTTCTTTGTGAACCTAAGTAGGGATTGACTTTTAAATTTCTTTTTGTAGATTGCTAATTTTTCGTACAGATCAAAAAGCAGTAAAAAAATAATTTTACACTAATTATGAAACTTGCTGAAGAAAAAATTGAAGTTTGCATTTTTTTCTCTAACCGATTTCTCGAACTAGTTTCTGAAATCGTCGGCCATTTCTGATCTCTAGCTGAGACCCTTATACCACCTGGTAATATTATAATGAAATAATAAGACACGTGAAAAAAAGTTATTAAACTTGATAGTCTAAAAAATCATGATTCGAGAAATCGAAATTTACGATTTGTGAAAGCTATTACCATCTCATCATGTGTGAGTCATACATTCTTTTTGCATCATACATAATACATTCTCTTGTTCACTATCTTGTTTATGAGTGAATTTATCTTTGAAAATATTCTGGCATTATTGTTGAATTACGCAGAAGTATTATTTCTGATCCGTTTCATACTTGCATTAATTAATATGTTTTCGGTCACCATCTTGTTTGCTAGTTTTAAGTTATATTTTTTAGAAAATAATCTCTAATGTGTATTACTGTTGAATTACGCAGATGTAAAATTTGTTTTTTTCATTTCATATATGTGCCAATATAATATGTTTTCGATCACCCTCGTGTTTTTCGAGTATTTAGTTACATTTATTTTTGTATATTCTTAAATATTTCTATTCTTAAATATTCTTTTGTATATTTCTTAATGGAATAATTATTTGATTATCCAATATTAGATAGTCTAAAGATTTAATCAAATGAGCGTTTTGATCTTAAAAAGGAAACACCACATTCTTGCTTGGACACGAAACTTAATTAACATTTCTTTACGTGCAAGCCCCCACACTGCAAAAAACGTTTTGCTGTTCTGGTCTAGGGTTGCATTATTTTATTACGTCGGTTTGGCGATGTATTGGTTGGATTTGTTGGTATTTAATATTTATCGTGATAATTGAGTCACAACTGTTCAATTACGCAAAGTAAAATATTTTTCCATTACGTATGACGCTTTCAACCAATACCAACCAGCATACGCTTTCAGCTGATAACTTGTTTATGAGATTTTGATTATGTTTTTAGTAGCAATAGTAGTACTATATTTACGTCGCACTAGAGCTGCTCAATGGGTTATTTTATTTTATTTTATAGCCGTCATTGAACAGCTAATCCAATTTCAGGTTTACGACTACTAATGTTCAACTTCGTAGCCTCGTCATTTTGAACCAATCCAGAAGACAAGGAAACTCCGGGATCAGTAACCCCAGAGGTATGATTTGTTACGGGAACGTGGAGGGCTTTGTGATACGACAGATTTAACGTGAATCAGTCACCACGGCAGTCTTCGGGGATCTAACCTATGACCTTTTGGATGTGGACCCAGTGCCCTACCAACCAGGCTATCCCGACCCACAATGGGCTATTAGAGAGGATGATCCAAAGCTTTTGATCCTCTGCAGAGCAAGGGGGGGTCTATTCCGTTTTGAGAGCCCGACGACCTGTTGAGCGCGAAATAGAGCATTTTACGGTAGAATGATTTAACGAGGACGGATAAGTCAGCCACTTCAAAGGCCGATCAAAGTGGTCACCCACCCGTTAAATAAATGCAACCCATCATGCTAGATTTCAGTTAACTGTACTGTTGAATTATATGTATATTGTACTGTTACTGTTAACTGTACTGTTGAATTATATTGTACTGTTACTGTTAACTGTACTGTTGAAATATACTGTACTGTTGAAAGTAAAATATTTTTTGAGTAGGAAGGCACTGTTTTAAAAGAATTTTTTTTCTCCAAAAAATGTAGCTGAACTTCGGTCTTCCCGGACAACCCTCGTCCTGAGTGTTGTATTTGTGGGCATCTACATCGGCAGCTGGTGGTGGATGGCGTTTGCAATTAAACAAGTCAGCAGAGGTGTGAGTAGATCCCCTTCTTTATAAAGCAACAACAACTGAGTTGTTTTTACAGCAATTGTTCTTATTGAAATAAAGCTAGAATTCGATTAAGTTTAAACTTTTTTTTAATTACAGGGTAGTGTATCACTGAGAACAGTTTTGCTTCTGGCAGTATTTGCCGCCGTGGATATTGCTGCTAGTACAGGATTTGTATTGCTGAGATTAATAATGGTGAGATACTTCTTCATTTTCATTTAGAAGAAATGGGGGAGCCGTGATGGCTCTGGGGATAGAGCGTTCGCCTACCAATGAGGTGAACAGGGTTCGAATCCCACCAATGACTGGTCGATACGAATCCGCATCCGGCTTGCACCGACCACAGTGCTGACGTGAAATATCTTCAGTGGTTTACGTAGCATGGGTTAGAGTCCCTTTGCCGTCAGGCTATCCTTGGGAAATTCTCGTGGTCTTCCTTTCCGTGTAACGCAAATGCGGGTTAGTTTCACCAAAAAGGTAAAATTTCTCCTAATACTTGTTCCAGGAGTTCCCTTGTCTTCGGGATTGGGTTCAAAATTTCAAGGCTGAGGAGTTGAACATTAGAAGTCGTAAACCCAAAAAATGGGTCGGCTGTTCAACGACTTATAAGAAAAAAAAGAAATGGGGTCATTTAAAAAGGGTTAAAACTAATTCATTAAGGAACGGAAAATATTATTCGCTAAATCGAGGATAATTCGTAATATCGAGGGCAAAATAAAAATAAAAAATTGACTAACCTTATGGATTATCCGAACATCTTTAATAAGCAAATACGCAAAATAGATAGAAATCTTACACTTACACTTTTTATTCGGAAAATACAGAAAATGTTTACTCGCTGATTAATTTGAATTTTTAAAGCATTTCGTGAGTATGGTTTGCTTATTTCTTTTATTTCTTACTCTAAAAAGTTTTTTTTTGACGTCATGAAAAGGAGAAAATACTCCTCCATTTATTTACATCTTGCTGCATTAGGTAAGTTTTCACTGTTTCCAAATCATTCAAAGCATCAGAAAATGTAACAGTTTTCACTATAGATTCATTACCATTGACTTCTGTGTCCGTGTCGCTATTTATTGTTTCCCATAAATCTACTTCATTAACTTCATAAAGTTCGTTATATAGGTAAATAGGGTTTCGCTAAACCGGGGTTCGATTGTATATAAATATTGTTAAATGTAATTTTGTCTTTGGGTATGTATTGCAACCGGATCTGAAAATAATTTTAAAACTCGATTAAAGAAGAATGGTAGAAAACAAAAATGGGTGGTTTGTTGCGGGTTTTGCTAAAGATACCAGAAATATATTTGTTCACATCAAAATTGAAATTAACAGCTGTACGTCTAACATCTATTGCTTTATATTTTTCCGTCAGCAGCGCCCTCTGTTGACAAATTATGTTATTACTTTTCCAATGGAGATATTTTAAACCTGGATACCCAAGTGGAACTTATTGAAACGTACATTTTGACAGTCAGTTCTTTGACACCCTGTTTAATATTGTATAACATAACAGAAAGCTTTAGGCATCTGTGGTTAAAAGTCTCTAATCTGTAGTACCTTCAACCTTATCATGACTTTAAACTTTGTTGTGTATATGCTCATTCTTTGTTCCACTGTTACAAAATGTATTGTTGTTGTTCCTCAAAATCAAAAATGTAATTTCAGTATATCAGGCGTGACAGATTTTATCCTCAAGGACTGAGGCCATTAAGTCCTCAAATGGAAGCAGACCAAATGGCAGCATACACCTCTCTACGGCTCATCACTATAAAGGTAAAATTCTTTCAATTTATTCTATCAAACTTGTTCTGACAATTCTTCAGTTTATACTATCAAACTTAATTGTAAATTGATGCGTTGGTGGAATCCACTAGTATTAATTCCATATTGCATTAAAATGAAGCATTGCTCGTAATATGACGTTTATCATTGCTAGTTGATAGGAGACGAAATAACATATGGAATTATTTAGTTCTTCAAAGACGCCATTTTATGATCAATCTTTGTTTTTCAATTCTCAGCTTTCTCTCTTGATCTATTTTAAAAACAAGTCTTTCCTTTCCTCCGTTCTATCTAAAATTCCTTCTAAAGTCTAAAATTCCTTCATTCTATCAAACTTAATTGTAAATTGATGCGTTGATGGAATCCACAAATATCAATTCCATATTGCATTAAAATGGAACATTGCCTGTAATATGACGTTTATCATTGCTAGTTAAAAACTCACGAAATTACATATGGAATTATTTAGTTGTTCAAAGACGCCATTTTATGATCAATCTTTGTCTCTCAATTCTTAACTTATTTTAAAAGCAGATCTTTCCTTTCCTTCATTCTATCTAAAATTCCTTCTAAAGTCTAAAATTGCTTCATTCTATCAAACTTAATTGTAAATTGATGCGTTGGTGCGATCCACTTAACGTTTTTAAAAAGTGCTTAAAGGTGCTTATTTTCGATATTAAAAAGCACTTAAAGGTGCTTTTTTCATTGAGTGTTTTTAAAAGGTGCTCAATTTTACCTCTTCGAAAATAAGATTTGTTTTTCTTTCCCATGTCGATTCTCGTCATGTATTGTGCAAAAGTGTGCTTTTCACATTGTTCTATTCAACGTTTTCACAATTCATTCAACCACAGTCCATTTCAGCGTACCGTCGCTTCATAGCGCATGAAAGAGCCTATCATTTTACGTGTTTGATGAAATACCTGCGAATCCGTATGTGCGTCTACTGAGCTAGGTTCGGTGAGAATATTGCACTCTCATGTGCGACTCTGCTGCATTTTGCAAGACATTCTCAATTTCAGACTTCATTTTTCCCAAAAAATGACCTTGAATGTTAAAAACCTCTTTATCAAAGTGTAAAATAGACATTATTTAATCAGGTCGAAAAAAGCTTCGCACATTTTTTATAATTTTATAATAATTTAGTTAATAAAGGGTGAATGATTGTGCTAGGATTCAAATTTATTGGTACTAGCGTCTACCTTAAATGAGCAGTTAATATAGGCTATATTTTAAGCTACGAAATCATGAACAAAAGCGTCCTTTCTCTGAATAATCATACCTTTTTCCTGAATATGAAATTTGCAGAATTGAGTTTTGACAATTTACAGGGAATGTTCCAATATTGATATTTTTTTCTTCTTATTTCAGTCAAGTTGTGGCAATGCAGATATTTTGGTGAGCGTCGTTGTGGGATTCTTAACAGTACTACGAGTAAGCTTTTTAAATTATTCGAAATTTCCTTTTAGAGCATATTATGTAAGCATATTTTTGGTTATTGTATACTACTCCTCTTATCAGTATATGTAACTTTACACATTTTAAATAAAATAGGCTTCTTAAGGTTAGGCTCTAATATCCCCCTCCATTACCATGATTTCAGCAAATCAGGTTTTTGTCTACTCTAGCATGTTGCAACTTATTCCTGTCATAATATGATGTCATAATTATTATGTTATTAGTCATAATTATAATAGTATTATTAGTCATAATTATCACAGTATTATATTATTAGTCATCATATGATGTCATAATTATTTTATTATTAGTCATAATATGATCTCATAATTATTATTTTAATGAAAAGTTAGAAACCGAAAGTAAGCAAAATGAAATTTTAAAGATATGCACGTTAGCAGACACAGCACTTCATCAGGGGACACATTAGAGCCTTTTTGTAGTTAGTGATTAAACCGAAAGCTGACTGTATACCCCAAGGCGCCCCATAATGGATAAACTAAATAACAAAATGCAATTGGAACAATGCAAGAATATTTAAGATATTGCATTTTCATATTTAGTTTTTCCATTATGGGACCTCGGGGCACAGTCAGTCAAATTTTGGTTTAATCACTAACTACAGAAAGGCTCTGATGTGTCCCCTGATGAAGTGCTGTGTCTGCTAACGTGCATATCTTTAAAATTTCATTTTGCTTACTTTCGGTTTCTAACTTTTCATTTAAATTGTTAACTTAAGAGAAATTTGGTTTTAGCTGCTTTTAGCGCTTTTCAATTTTGACTGATTATTTCAAAGTTTTATCCTGGAACTTTTATCCTAAAATTTGTTTAAATCAATTTCATACTTTGATTGGATGTCATAATTATTATATTATTCGATATAATTACAGTAAAACCCCGTTATAGTGAACACGGTTTATAGTGGATACCCGGATATAGGGAACGAAATGTTCACTCTCATGCCCTGCTACACACGTATAAAATTATTTTTTGTGGATATAGTGAACCAAAAAAAAAGAGGAAGTTGGATATTATGAACTTTTTTCTGTCTTCGACTGATTTATTTTCTTTATTTCTTTTGTAATAATTTTGAAACTTCTACTTCAAAATAAATACATATACCAATTTTTAAAACAAACAGGAAGAAAAAGCAATAAGCATATTTTCTTGTTTGCTTCATTATTGAATGGGTCCAGCATTCAAGGAAGCCGCAATCGTTCAGTAAATGCTTCAAGTCAAAATCGATGAATTTTGCTAAGCGATTGGGTGAGACTACTTTTATGTGCTCGAATGGGTGGCTAGAGTTGGAATAACATAATTTTTAGTAAAATTTGGAATAACATAAATTGAGGAAAAATTATCGGAGTGTCTGGAAATATTACCATATCTAATGTTGAGGATTGCTCGTCAGTAAGGCCCGGATTTTGATGACATTTGCATTTTTTTTGCATTTTTTGCATTTTTGGACATTCTTTGTCCTTTAGAGCATTTTTTGAGATTTATAGGGCATTTTCTTTAAAATTTTGGGGCGTATTTTGCATTTTAAAGCATTTTTTAAATTTTTTGTTAAATTTTTCTAATTTTTATTATTTTTTATAATTTTTTATTATTACACTGGCTTCCAAACAATGAAGAAAATTTCTAGGATATTAACAGGTGAAGCAACATCTTTTCAAATTGAAGAAGAATTGTCAGTAAGTGTGACCGTCCTTTTCAAGTACGCACCAATAACATCAGTAGACGTTGAAAGAAGCTTCTCCTGGTATAAAAATTTGCTTTCAGACAAGAGACGCTCGTTTACATTTCAAAATATTAAAAAAAAATTTAATAATCCACTGTAATTCTGATATTTAGTAATATTATGAGATGGAAGTTGTTATATTCATTTAAGTTTCTATACAAAATGAAAATGTTTTGGAGTCAATATATTTTCTTTTTTTTTGTTATTTTTGGATATAAAACATATTTGTCAAACTTTAATGAACGTAGAACAAGTATTGCATTGCTTTATATTTTTTGAAACGACTCATAATAATTTTAAAGAGTAAAACATTGTTTTAGTTCAATATTTTTACTTCTATTTAAGTCATGTCATAAGGCATTTTTAGCGCAATTTTCGCATTTTAAGGGCATTTTTTGCACTTTTTAAGGGCATTAATTGAGATTTTTTAGGTCAGAGGTGGCGAACCTTTATACACCAACGTGCCATTTTTTCTAAAAAATTGTTTAATGAGGTCATAGACGTGCCGTCAAATAATTTTGCTTCCGTGATTATTGGGAAAATAATAATACTAAATACTATCAACTCAAAACTCTTTATTTACATTGAAAATAAATACATTGTGCCATGTCTCAGTTATACGCATGAAGTAACATCAGTGATTTCTGTTGTTGCAGATTAGATGACAAATAACTTATGTTAGGTTGTAAGATGTTAGTTTAAGCAGGACTGTTAATTTTTTTACTAGTTATTTATTGTTAGCTTGTTTTTTATCGTTATTAATTGCTTTTTTAGCATTAATTGTTAATTTTTTTATTAATAATTGTTTATTATTTTGTTTTGCTTTTGTGAATTTTAATTTAATTATTACATATGCCTCATAGTGTAATAACATTTGTGTAATAACAATTCATAGTGTAATTACAACTGTCATCGGTGGCGTGCCCAAAATAATGTTGCTCGTGCCATAAATGGCACGCGTGCCATTGGTTCGCCATCCCTGTTTTAGGTCATCAAAATCCGGGCTCTACTCATCAGCTAAAGAAGGTTATTTTTTTTGTACTCAAGACGAAGAGTAATAAGAAAATAAAAGTTAACATATTTTTATTACTACGTATTAGTTTTCAGTCATTTTTGTATTTCATTTAATTCGTCATTTATTTAAATAATGTCGTGTAATAAAAGGGGGTAGTTTGGAAGCATTATTTAAAATTGTTTGAGGAACCGATATAGTGAATTTCCGGTTATAGTGAACCGAAATTTCGGTTCCTGAGGGTTCACTATAGCGGGGTTTGACTGTAATTTATTATCATCCGCGGAATGAGTTTCAAAATTAATTTGGTATTATTATTTATTATTAGATCTACAGCGTAGTTTGCGTAGCATCATTTTACAAGAAAGCAAAAAGTGGATCCCGCGATATATTTCAGAAAGGTAAACATACATTTTTGTTTTAATTTTATGTATCTCAAGTGTATTTGTGGAAGGTTTCGAAGAACTGTCTGATTTAACCGAGATATTCATTGTGTGCAATACTTATCATGATCACGAAATTTAATCCCAATGGCTTAATGTAGCGAGAATAATTACCTATACACAATGGAATTCGTCAAATATCTTAATTCAATGATTTTGTTCAATATCTAATTATTTATATTTGTTGGGTAAAAGTTGTCTTAAATCAAAGTTTGGAAAAGTAGGTCGATACGTTTTTATCTTTTTAGATAAATAAGTACTGATACAAGTTCTTTTCATTTTTTTACTCTGACCTAAAATAATATTTATGTTAATTTTTAGAAACATGAGAGTTGTTGTTCATTTATGTCGCACTAGAGCTGCGTCCAGCAGTGGACTGATCGTTGAGACACGGTTCCCAGCAGATCACGGAACTCAAGCATCACTGGCTACGGTCAGTGTGCGGATGGGTGACCACTTGGATCAGTCTGCGTAGGGACCGAGGGTGTTAAACTATGGATGTCCTCGTTAAACTATGCTACCGTTAAGTGCTCTACTTCGCGTGCAGGTCGTCGGGCTACCGAAGCGGGGGTGCCATCCCCTCCGCAGAGGATCAAAATTGTAATGGTATGTCTTCGGATCATCCTCCGGGATGTTTCCCAGACCGTCGCCAATAGCCTATTGTGCAGCTCTAGTGCGACGTAAATTAACAACAACAACAACAGCACTAGAGCTGCACAATGGGCTATTGGTGACGGCATCGGAAACATCCCGGAGGATGATCCGGAGGCATACATACTATCACAATTTTGATCCTCTGCAGAAGGAATTGCATTTCCACTTCGGTAGCCCGACGACCTGCACGCGAAGTAGAGCACTTAACGGTAGAACAGTTTAATGAGGACCGACACCGCACACCCTCGGCCCCTAAGCAGACTGATCAAAGAGGTCACCCACCCGCACACTGACAGCAGCCAGTGATGCTTGACTTCGGTGATCTGCTGGGAACCGTGTCTTAACGATCTGTCCACGCCAGCTCTAGTGTGACGTAAATAAAGTACCTTCCTATCTATCGTCAACAATGCAGATTTATAATACTTAATCCAAAAACTTTTATTAATGATACTTGGGGCTGTGATAGCCTGGTTGGTAGGGCACTGAGCGTATGCCAAAGAGTTCGTGGGTTCGTTCCCCGCCTGCCGAAGTCTTCCAGTGTAATAAATGGTGACTTATGCACGTTAAATCTGTCGGGTCGCAAAGTCCTCTATGTTCCCATAACAAATTAGTACTTCTGGGGGTACTGATCCCGGAGCTCCCTTGTTTTCTGGATTTGGATCATAATTACAAGGATAAGGAGTCGGCTGTTCTACGACGGTTATAAAATAAAATAAAATTAATGATACTTGAATATATATTATTATTAAAAATATTGAAGTAGTTAGAGAATATAATGTCAGGTTTAGTTAAGTGAGAATTTTTACCCACAAGTTTTAAAATTAACAGGTGTCTTATGAATTTTTGAATGCTATAGTATAGTATAGAAATTGAATATTAATCATTTTAATTTATCAGCTTATAGAAAGAACAGTTTTAATGACAATATTATTATTCATTTAAAATTTTTACTCACTACTTATTCCGTATTCAAAGTTCAACACATAATTTTTTTTACAGAAGATTATTATGCATTAGCATTAGTGTTCATCGCAAAATTCTCTAAAAATCGGAAGAAAAAAAAAGTTAATTTTCATTTTAATATTTATTATTTAATACATTAATTTTTATGTTTTAAGCTATCGTTGTTTAACTAGTTTTCTGAGTTCTTTATTAACAGATGTATATATAAATATTTCAGATATCACCGGAAGTTGTGATACCTCTGAAAGGACTGAATCTGTGAAAGATTTTGAAGACTACAATCCCAAGTCCCTCATAATAGACTAGTGAGTAGTTTTCTGAAATTAATTATGTATTTAAATAACTCTTTAAAGCAATAAATCTTTTTTTCTCAAATTGGGAGAGATTGAATAGTTTTTTTGAGGTAAAATAATCTCATTATATTGTATAGGGTGTGCAAATAAGTTCGCCACAAGATGGCACTACCAGAAGGTTATGTGGAAATTGACTGGTGTTAAACGTCTTGTTCATCTGGTAACCACATAACCTTAAAGTATTCCGTGTTAGCATTACGTAATTGTTTCTGTACAAAAATGTCAAATTTTGTGCCAAATAAGCGACATTTCTCGGAACTTTTGATTTACTTCTTTAATTTGAAGAAATCTGCAGCTGAGGCGCATCATCGAGAAGCTGTGAGGCTGTTTTAGATGAGAGAAGTTTCAGAAGTTTAAGAACGGTGAATTTGACGTGGAAGACACAGAACACAGTGGAAGGCCGAAGTTGTGCGAAGACAAAGGAAATGGAAGGATTCATCCCAAACGCAAAACAGACTTGCTCTTACATTGTAAGTGACTCAGCGAGCAATTTCACATCGTTTAAAATTGTTGGGAATGATCCAAAAAGTATGGATGGAACCCAACGTTCCATACAAACTGAAGCCAAGAGTCGATTTTGCAGGAAAGTTGATTTTGCTATTTGGAAACACTTCAATGGGAAGTTCTACCCTCCCCCCGTATTCGCCAGACTTTGCCCTTATCACCCATTCCGGTCGATGACACGTGATTTTTCAGAGCAGAAATTGACAGCGTTTGAAGAATCCCAGGAATGGGTCGATTCGTGGATATCCTCGAGAAATGAAGAGTTCTTCAAACGTGGTGTTCGAGTATTCCCAGGAAGATGGGGGGGGCGGGGAATTAGTGTCTAGTAATGGAGAATAGTTTGAATAAAAGATAATGTACCTTATTTTTACAGTAAACGGACAATTATTGATAAAAAACGGCGTAAACTTATTTGTACTCGCAATATATTATTTCGAAATTTCTTTTCATCATCAAATTTTCAATTGGGTATACTATAGCCTACGTCACAGATCGTGTTATTCCTACTAAATTTAACTAGTAAACAGCATTTTCTGCGAACCTGATTTCTAGCAACAAGTAAAAGCATCAAACGAAGTGTCTTGTTTATAAGTCGCTACTCGCCAGGTTGGAATTGTATTAGTCTAGTTCCTTTGGAAATAATTTATATTGTTGTTTTACCGAAGTTTATGAATTTAGTAAGCATATTTAAAACTCAGTTTATTAATCAAACTAAATGGTAAATGTTATTCCTAGTAAGTGGAAGTAGTTGTGCTTTTTTCATATTAAACCCAATTGAAAAAGTTATTTTAAAAAGAGAAAAAAATAGTCAGGATATGAATTAATTTCTTGTGTTCACTGTATTTCTCATATTTTCAATTGGTTGTTTGTATTCCAGTGCAAAGAATAAGCCTCACTACACATCTCACAGAGATAGAAGGTCCAGCATAGTGGCCGCTTCAACACTGCCGCCCCCTCAAGAGGACGACCTGATGGACTTGAAAGTCCAAGCATCGGACATGGCCCTGGACATGCAGAGGGCAGCAGTGCACGCGGCCTCTCAGGCCATCAGAATCTATTCCACCGAGAAGCACATTGCAGAGAGCATCAAACAAGATTTCGATCAACTTTACCATCCGACGTGGCATTGCATTGTGGGACGGAATTGGGGCAGTTGCGTCACCCATTCGAAACAGTGTTATGTGCGGATGAGTTACAAGGATATGACCATTATGCTTTACAGGTCAACGTAAGACGCTTTTAAGGCCTGTTTACACGGTCCAAGTTCTTGAATGCCAGAAATTGGAAGATTCGTCGACACTATCTTGAATGTTAGGGGAGAGTGGGGTCAATTGTAACATTTTTGACTATTTTTAACTAATAAAAAATCAAATATATTATTAGTATTAATTGACAGACGAGTAAAGTAGACTATCCTCTACTAGAAAAAAAAATAAATACCTTGTTTTAAATCTTATTATATTAGTTATTAACAATTTTTGACAGTCGAGCACTTGTTACAATTGTCCCCACTAACGGGGTCAATTGTAACAGTTCATAAATTCAACTAAAACATAGTTAATTATACATATTATCATAGTTGTGATCTATTTTTTTATTGATCAAAATAGTAGTGATATTTTAGGAGTAAAAATAATAATGAACAGAGACCTAAAGGGTTAAACTTTTAACTTTAAGGGGTTAAACATTTTAATTTATGCTGTGAAAGGTGACAAATAAAATAATGCACATGCAACATAATATAAATGATATAGGAAACTATTGGTGGTTCTTAAAGAGTTAAGTAATGGTTTGTAAACATAAGATTATTTATTTTCAGCTGTTACAATCGTCCCTTTACTTATTGTTACAATTGTCCCCAAGACGCCATTTCAGCTTCATTTGTTAAAAACAATGCTAGTTAATTAGCAAAACTAATCTTTTTTTTTTTGGAAATGTTAATTAAAGTGTCCACTTACATATTCGGTTACTAATTTTTATTTGTTTAAACAAAATTACTTTGTTACAATATAATATTCTAATACCAAAAAAAGTACTTACGTAGCGTGAAAATATCTTTTGTGATGTAACTCTTTCAAAAGTACATAAAAATGGTTGCCAGCAGGGGTGTACATGTAGATTTATTAAATACACCTTGTGCGCCACCTAGGAACCAAATCTAGAACCCGACACTCGAAATTTTTGCTCTGTTACAATCGTACCCTGTTACAATTGACCCCACTCTCCCCTACTGATGGTTCGAATGAAAAACCCGAGCATGCGCATTGTTCATATTCGAAATTATAATATCATACTCACATGAATGTAAAATTACTAAAAAAAATTCAAATTAAATAATAACACCAATAGACCAGAACAGATTTGTTCATTTGGATTTAAATATATGAAAACGGACAACAAAATGACATGATCTGATGTCTGGCTTGCTGACGTCACAAAACTTAAGAAACTGATTGATTACGTGAGGAAAAACTTGGATAGAAGGTAGAATGCACTCTACTATCATTCAAGCGCTTGGATGATTTTTTACGCGATCCAAGCTGAAAGCAAAACAAGTTTCCATCAATTTCTCAATCTTCATCCAAAAACTTGGATTGTTTAAACAGGCCTTTAGGAATGCCAAAGTCAACTTTTAGATTATTTTTTTGATTTCATATTTCATGAACAAACCTTTTAATGTATTGATTGTAAATTTTATAATATTGATTTAAAAAATATTGTTTTTAATTTTTATAGTGATCAAAAATAATATACTTTGATAAAAAACTGCACTTGCGTTAATAATTGCGGAAGAAAAATTTTTTAAATGTAACTAAGTTTCATTATCTTGTTAGTCAGATATATGAAATTGCTTTTTTATTTATTTAACTTTTTTTATTGCACTTGGCCTGAAAGAATTAAAATGAGCTGACAAAATAGTAAAAGAGTCAAAGCGTGGGAGTCAACACAAAGATGCGTTATGATGTGAAACTGTTAAGTAAAGTTGATGTAATGTGTTTTGAATTAATTTATTATTTTTGTGTGTAAAACAAATGAAAATTGTATTTTATTTGTCTTTTTTATGTTTTAAATAAAATGTTTCTCTTTTTATCAATTGCATTTTCTATTTCAAAGAAAAGTTTTCGATAGCTTGCCTTCATAAAGATGACGTCAATGCTCAGAACTTTTCAGTTTGATTGTGCGCATACAAGTTTTTAATTTTCTTAAAATCGACAGATGGTCTGATTTAAAAATTCTTCTGATTCTGATTAAAAATTCTGATCTAAAATTCCGATAACAACCGTGGTGGCTCAGGGTATAGAGCTCTCGCCTATCAATGAAGTGACCCGAGTTCGATACCAGAGATAGCTGGTCGAATTCCTCACCCGGCTCGCACGCGACCACAGTGCTGAAGCAAAATATCTTCAGTGGTAGACTGATCACGAGTTAGAGTCCCCTTGCCATTAGGCTAACCGTGGATGGCTTTCGTGGTTTTCCTCTCCATGTAACGCAAATACGGGAAGTCGCATCGAAAAGTCCTCTACGAAGGCAAATTTCTCCCACTACTTGATCCAGGAGTTACCTTGTCTTCTGGATTGGGTTCAAAATTACAAGGCTGAACACTAATCACGGCTTTACGACAGTTAGTGTTCACGAAAGTTGACCACCAATAGTCGCAAAGCCGGAATTAAGTCGACTGTTCAACGACGGTTAAACAGCGTTAATTGTTAGTTAGTGTCTCCTTGCTGTCAAGTGACGTGCGTTCCTCTCTATGCGGGGTGAGTTCAAGGCTCGGTACTGAGTTGGAAGCTCTTGAACTTACGATGGTCAGAGTTAAGCAATTAAGTTACACACTGTTATTGGTGTTTGTTGTTTATGGCCTGCCAGCACCAACTTCAAAACAGTTAAAATTGCACCGAGAGTTAACTCACACAAATCTTGATCCCGCAGTGGACTGCTAGTTAAGGCACGGTTTCCAGCAGATCACCGAAGTCAAAAATCACTGTGCGGGTGGGTGATCACTTGAATCAGTTTGCGTAGGGACCGAGGATGCGCGGTATCGGTTCCCGTTAAACTGTTCTACGGTAAAGTGCTCGACTTTCCGCGCAGGTCGTCGGGCTACCAAAACAGGAGAGCCATCCCCTCCGCAGACAATATAAATTGCGATGGCTTGTCCTCGGATCCTCCTCAGGGATGTTTCCCAGACCGTCGCCAATAGCTCATTGCGCAGCTTTAGTGTGACGGGAATTAAGCACCTACCTACCACACAAATCGTTCGAGAGCTGACTGGCTGTTAACGCAAAAAATTAAGTTCCACAAAAATGTCTGCCCATAAACACCCGATGATCGAAGGTTTGAGCTCGTCTAAATCCGATCATCAGATAAAAGAGTTATTTAGCGTGTTCATTTATCTGATATTTGATCATGCTAACACACATTGTTCTCTAAATTGAATTGTATAAATAAAATGCTCGAAAATGAGGGGGGGGGAATAAAAATTTTGATAAATTTATGCTATTTTTAAGTGAAAGTCGTAAATACAATACTTTCAAATCATACTTTCAAACTTGTCCTAGACTATGACCTTTCCTAATATTTATTTAAATAACAACAAAATTCCCTAACTTAAGTACAATGAAATTTTCTCTAAAACAAAATTTTCTACATTAGCCAATCAGTTTCGATATGGAAAGATTAAAATAACGAAAATGGTTTAAAGAAATATTTAAATTTAGAAAATTAAAGAAAAATTTGATTTAAAATAAATAATTTTTGTGGGTTATTTCTGTACATAAGATTTTTGAAGCAACAAAATTTCTCGTGAAGAACGTAATAGCACTGAAAACCTCCCATGTATTGATGAATTTTCTTTCTCCAATTCATAGTTGCAGTTAAATTTATCAGCACATTGTTATCTTTACGTCATTTTTATGTTACGTCAATTATCAGCGCATTTTATTTTTCAACTCCCTATTATTCTTATTTTATCAAACTGTCATTCTGTAAATTTATTTTTTTCTTTATTTATTAGTAGAATAAGTACGTTCGCAAAACAGTTAATCGAATGAATATATCTACTAAATTTTTTTCCAACAATCTAAGCAATTTAACTCTTTTTAGTTAGTTTAATATGCGTTGAATTCAGTTTGTGTATCCGCCGCTGGTAAGATTTTCGTTTTCTATTTTCTTAAAAATTCTTTGTTATAATAAGAACATTTCGGAAATTTCTTCGCAAAATAACTTCCAAATAGCAAAGTAAATTTTCTATTGAACGAACTTTTCTATGAGATTCACCTTCCCTATTTCCCAAAATATTTCAGAACATTTCAAACTTGACCTTGAATTAATTTTCTAACCCACTCAACTTTTAGAGAAGGCAGTAAAATACCTCTCTCTTTTTGTTTGCATTTCAAACAAAAAACTCAGACAAAATTAAAGGATTTTATCAGTAGTCATTAAACTTAAGAACGGGTGTGGTAATGTATGTTTAAAATTACATTTATAATAAAAGCGGCTATATTATTATACATAAATTTAGCTTTTTTTAGTTGAAAATATGTGTAACACATAATAGTGTAACACTGGATAGTGTTTTGCTTTATTCTTGCTTTTCATGCAGAATTCTTTTACGGCTAATATTTATAAAATAAATAGTAGATTCTAGTTTACAAGATAATTGATATTTTAATTATATAATGATATCTAGTGTTTATGAATTTAAAACTTATTTTGTGTTCTTTAAGTATTTCCAAAATAGGATAACTTATAAACTCATTCAGTTTCGTTCTATTCAGGCAAATGCCGAGACATTTAAAAAGAAAATTCCAAGTAAATTGTGTGATTGGTTAAATTTTAGCCACGCCCTTAAACCCACTTCTCGTGTAATGTCTGATTCCAAGTAAGTGCTCATGGTACGGCATGGAATGTTCATGGAGCAAAACTTTCCCAATTTTTACTTTCCAGCCGGTAATCACCATTCACCTCTCGATAGCTCTTAATTTTTTGCCTGCTCAAAAATAAAGAATTTTTTTAAATTTTTTTGTTTATTATTATTTTTTTTTTATAAACGTCGTTGAACGGCTGACCCAATTTTTGGGTTTACTACTACTAATGTTCAATTCCGTTGCCTTCTAATTTTGAACCCAATACAGAAAACAATGGATCAACTATTGGGAGAAATCGTAGAGTGCTTTTTGATGGAACTAACCCGCATTTGCGTTACAAGGAGGGAAAGACCACGAGAGTCTCCCACGGTTAGCCTGATGGCAGGGTGATTCTAACCCATGATCTGTCTATCACTGAGGATATTTTACGTCAGCATTGTGGTCGGTGCATTCGGATCTGCCAGTCATCGCTGGGATTTGAACCCGTAACGAGATTGCTAAGTTACAAAAACGGAAAATAGAAGGGTAAATAGAGGATAATGGGATCAATATATGGCAGGTTCTCACTGAAGTGCAAAAGCGCAATTTATTTGTAATTTTAACTACTTTGCATTACCTTGAAAACTGAACGTGAGCAAGGTGAAAATATTATACTGGATAATTCATTCAAAGTTTATAATTTATAAGGCTTAGTTTCAAATATAAAATTTAAATATTGATTATTTTAGAGAAATTATTAACGTTCATTGAAAAAAAAATAATTCTAAGAATTCTTTATTAAATATTAGCCACCGATTTACCCGAATTGGATTTGCACGTGGTAATAAAAATTTAGTTAACGAAGCGAGTTTTAATAAATTTATTAATAATAAAAGCATACAATTAACTCAATGAATTTAATTACGTATTTTGAATAGCCATTGTGTTTTATCAAATTTTGGAAGAGATAAGAAACACTGTTTCGGATTAAATTTTAATTTCGGTGATCCTCACACTATTGCATTGATGTATTTTGCTTTAGTTATATTAATACAATATCAGAAAGCACTCTTTTTTGGCGGATATAATAGTCTGAGCTGATGACGAGACTATATCTTTTCCTTATTTTGTTTTCCAATTTTTTTAAAAAAAATTCGAAAAATTGTTTAAAGCATCTTATTTTAATAATTTTTTTTTTCTTTTTTAAAAAAAATCTTTTTTTTTTTCTCCATCTTTTCTGTATGTTTTTAACTTATTTTATGAGTTCTATGTACTTGCAGCTTATGCGCNTAAAAAATAATGACAAGAGAAGAAAAATCATTAAAATTATTTTTTAAAAGTATTTAAAAAAATATATATATATTTTAAATTATCATGTAAAAAAAAAATGTATAATAAAACTTATTAATTTTCTTCATTTTTCTCTCTTTTCTTTTCTTTTTTTGTGCTATATATATATATTAGAGTCGGACCTCTAATTCACAAAGCTCCTTTTTGCGAATTTCTCTATTTTGCTATTTTCTTCGAGGAACGAAGAAATTTTTTCGCAAAATAACTTCCAAATTTCGAAATAAAATTTTTACATTTAACGAACTTTCCTTTGAGATCCACTTTAACTATTTCCTCAAAAAATTTCGAAACATTTTAAGCCTGTTAACAAGTTTTATAGGGTAAATAACGAATTGTTTTTCGTAGCCACTTAACTTCTAGGGAAAGCAATAAAATCCCTCTTTGTTTGCAATTCGAGCAAAAAACTTAGACAAAATGAGCGGATTTTATGAGTAGCCATTAACTTAAGAACGCATGTGGTAATGTATGTTTAAAATTACTTTTATTATAAATGCAACGATAATTTTATGCATAAATTTAGCTCTTTTTAGTTGAAAATGTAGGTAGGGTAAACCAACCAGTGAAGGAACATTTCATATATATTGATTAAAAATAAGAATTTGAAAGTTTTTCTTCATATTGATTGGTAACAATAGCTTACTGCCAAACAATAGGAAGTCATCTAGCAATGTTTTGGAATACCTGGTCAAATAGACTTCTCTGGAAAAATTTTTGAATTTGTTATTATCTCTGCAACACCTTGTTTCTTTGAAAAAAATTATAAGGGGAGTGTTTGTATTTATATGTTGGAAGTGGAATTAATTGCATGTCATAGTTTTATTTTTCTCACTGTGAAAAAGAGAATTCAAAATATAGTTATTGAAATTACGTATTATTTTTTTTAAGCATCATAGCATGATAAAGTACTGAGATAAGGGGTGTTTATTCACTGGGTCACCAAACGATGAAAATCCAGTGAATGAACAAGTGCTTCTTTACTGGGTTTTTTTCTAAGTTAATGAAAATAAAAGATAAACTTTAATTTTCTTGTACCTTTAGTGATATTCCGCATCAAAACTATGTTAAAAATACGAAAAACAGCTGCCTACCAGTGAGGGAACAGGCATGTTCCTTTAGAGCTGTTCCTTCACTTGGTCTTCTTACTACTTGTTATTTGAACCTCCAAAACTTTAAAACAATATTATGTAAGCTCGCTACAATNTGAAAGACCAGTGAGGGAACAGGCATGTTCCTTTACAGGTAAGAGCTGTTCCTTCACTTGGTCTTCTTACTACTTGTTATTTGAACCTCCAAAACTTTAAAACAATATTATGTAAGCTCTCTACAATTTTTTTACATAATTTGCAAATAGTAACAAATAAATTGACACTGTCATTTAACTGAAATTACGAATTTTGAAATTAATATGATTTTTTAAAAGGCAAGCGAAACTTAAGTGTTCCTTCACTGGTTAGTTTACCCTAGCATAAACTGAATATGTTTTGCTCGTTTCTTACTTTCCATGCAGATTTCTTCGATAGTTAAGATTTATAAAATAAGTAGTAGAAAATTATTTACAAGATAAAGGTGCTATTTTAATTATGTCTAGTGTTTATGAATTTAAAACCTGTTTTGTGTATTTTAAGTACTTCAAAAGGTGATTTTTCTATTTAACGAATTTTCCATATAACGAACTGAATTGATATATTAATATAATCAAGTGTTAACCGGTTTCAGTCACGTAAAAACAATAACGCTGTATAGAGTATCAACCGATAATTTAGATTTTACTTAGAATCTTGTATGTGCGTCTGAGAATTCGGCCACGAACTGTATAAATTTTATTTGTTATATTTTGGCAACATTTTAAAAAGCTATTCGGCATGCTAATTTTTTTTTCTTTTCTTATTTTTCTTTCAGGAGAGCAAAACTGAATGCACTGTCGAAATATTATAATTTTCTCCATTTTAATTTTCCTCTGCATAACATGGATGCATTACAATCTGCTGACAAAGAAAGACTCTCCGTCCATTCTTTTGTACCAAAATCTGTCCCACTACGTCCATCCAGAAAAACACACAGCCCTGATACTCCCGAAGTCTCAATGCACCGGTGACGTCTTCATCGTGGTCGTCATATGCTCAGCCGTCCCCAACTTCGAATCCCGAAGCGCCATCCGAAGATCTTGGGGGCAAAATGGCGTTAGTCAGCGCAACACATATTTCCTGTTGGGAAGATCCCCCAATGACGACATCAACGCAGCTGTTGCCACCGAGAGTAGAAAGTACTCAGATATCATCCAGGAAGACTTTCTGGACACCTACAACAACTTAACTCTCAAATCTGTGATGTTGTTGAAATGGGTGAAAGAGCATTGCGGAAATGCCAGGTATGTGATGAAGACTGACGACGACATGTTTGTCCACGTGCCTAATCTTGTCAAAGCTCTGGAAATCAAAATGGAACCCAACCTCCTACTGGGTTGTTACCTCAACGATTCCATTCCAAACAGAGACCGCAGCTCCAAATATTATGTTCCAGAAAGTTTTTTTCCTGATCAGTACTACCCGCCGTACCTTTCCGGTACAGGATATGTATTTTCCGGGGATACCGTTTCCGGATTGTACAGAGCGTCGCTGGAGGTCGAGTTTTTCCATTTGGAAGATGTTTTCATAACCGGTGTGTGTGCTAGTCGAATCGGACTGCAGCCTCGCCATGATGGCCGCTTTTTGTACAAAAATGATGAAAAGAAAAAGGACTGTTGCACGCTGCAATCCTTGATCACTGCTCATAAGATATCACCAGAAGAATTGTTACAGATATGGAAAGCGTGTTTTCAAAATAACGTCGTGTCTTGCCCATCCAATGCAAACTTTATTTCATATTCTGAGAGCTTCCTGATAATCTTCGTTATGATAGTTATCTACATTACAATATAACAGTGGAATTGCATGATTTGAAAAACCCACTATAAAGGATTCTAAATTAAGCGACTGTGATATATTTAGTCGGATCCAATGTATGTAATTATGACTTTTTAATTAAAAATGCCTTTCATAAAAAAAGTGTTGGAACGAATTGTTTCTCTTATTGAATTCTGTTGTTTAGAGATAACTGATCATATGATATTCATCACTTCACTCATGATATGCCTTATTTCGCAATGAAGCAATGCATATCATAAAGAAAAGTTCAAACCAATCAATTCTCACCATTCTATTGCTTTGCATCAATTGTTATTTTACATTCGACTTTTTATTTTATTTTATAACCGTCCTTGAACAGCTGACTAAATTTTTGGGTTTACGGCTACTAATACTCATCGTGGTACCCTTGTAATTTTGAACCCGATCGAGAGGACAAGAGAACTCCTGGCTCAAGTATTGGGAGAAACTTGCCTTCGTGGAGAACTTTTAGGGGGAACTAACCCGCATTTGCATTACATGGAGGGGAAGACCATGGTTAGCCTGGCGGCATGGGGACTCTAACCGTCTACCACTGAGGATATTTCTCGTCAGCAGTGTGGTTGTTGCAGCCGAGTGCGGAATTCGTATCGACCAGACATCGCTGGGATTCGAACCCAGTTCACTTCAATGTCTCTATCCCTTGAGCCATCGTAGTTCAAACATTTGACTTGACTTAATTCTCCGTACTATCAAGTTGCGTATGAGGCAATAAGGTATGCCATCCTCTCCGGTCTAGCCCTGGCACTCCCTCAGCTCGGCCATCAAAAGGCAGTTGTTTCTCTTAGGATTACTTGCCGCAAGGTTTGCTTTGGTAAACCTCTCCTCCTTCCTCCATCCGGTGCCAAAATATTAAATAAAATACCATTTTAAACTAATAAAAATATTTTACTAGTTGTCGTATATAAAGCTATAAATACTTTATTTTAAAATTTTCAGTTTTAACTTTTTTTATCAAACTTTTATTTTCTAACTTTTGTTTTTATTAACTTTTATTTCTATTATTATTTTACTATAAAAAAGTATATTGCATAGATCGACACTTTTTTAGTTGCATATTGTTCGATAACAATAATTTGTAAAGTTGGGTTAAATTTAGAATCCTGATTTTAAAATATGCTGTTAATGGCAATTTGTTTATACTTAAACTGCAACCTTAAAAGCTAATTACGGAAACAAAATTTATAATTTTGGCTCATAATAATATCAGAAATTTTACAATTGCTTATAGATGCTTAAATTTATATTAATTAGATAAATCATTATTTAGAATAACTACATTAAAAACTACGTCATGAAATTCGTTGAATTTTAACTATTAGTTATTTATACTTTTCGTTTAAGTTTTTATTTTCTTTGACTTTATCCATTTTTTAATTCTTTTCGTCTGCCTTTCTTTTTGAAGTAACTGGGTGGTTTCAATTTAGATGGCGAAATCTTATAAAAGTTCTGAAAGACAAAATAAGAGTATTGCTGTTTTATTCACTGCAGGATATCGTCTCTCTTAATTGGCGACGGTCTGGGAAACATCCCTGAGGATGATCTGAAGACAGGCCATCGCAATTTTGATACGCTGAAAAGGGAAGGGCTCCTCTGCTTTGGTAGCCCGACAAACTGCGAGCGAAGTCAAGCACTTTACGGTAGAGCAGTTTAAAGAGGACCGTTACCACACATTCTCGGTCCATACGCAGACCCTGACTAAGGTGGGGGCATACGGGGCAATTGCCCCGGACCCCTACATTAGAGGGGACATCCAAATCGAATAGAAAGTTCATTTTCCGTTACATTCTCTAATTAACTTTTTTAAAACAAAATATCAGTACAGCGTAAAATCCATCAGTTTTATGTTAGCTTCTTCATTAATCTATCGTATGAACACAATCTATATTTCATGGCTCTCTAAGGCGGAATTCAGCTAAATTTTCGCAATTACCATTGACAAATTATGCCAATCAAAAGCCTGTATTTCTACATATAACAAAATGCGATATTTTTACAAAAATACAGGCATCTGATGGGCTTAATGAGTCATCGTAATTGCGTAAATTAAGTCATAATGTCAGCAAGGATATGAATTTCCCCCTGCTAGATGGCTGAGTTAACAATCAGAAAACTGCAATCGGCATGGTGCACATAGAATTATCCAATAACCCATTGTGCAGCTCTATTGCGACGTTAATTAAGTACCTACACATTCATAAAAGCTATCTATAATTTATAAATTCTAAAGGGATATTTCCGTATCGTGATTTGTCGCATCAACTACAATCGCTAAGGTGCCACATAGATTTTAAACTTACATATTTAAAAAAAAATTTAAACTTGCAGATAAAAAAAAAAATTGCAGATGTGTGTGTTTGTCCAGGGGTGGCTATGAGTTACTCCTTTCGAGTTGGTAGTTTTCTGCTCTTTTTTTAAAAAGTTTCTCCCCAACAAGACTTAGCGATAATTCGTGTGGAGAGTTATAGAGAAAGGAAGTACGTTAGTTTCTGTCTTGATTTTCATGTAAATTAAAATCGCTTAATTTGTTGTTGTTGTTGTTAATTTACGTCGCACTAGAGCTGCACAATGGGCTATTGGCGACGGTCTGGGAAACATCCCGGAGGATGATCCGAAGACATGCCATCACAATTTTGATCCTCTGCGGAGGGGATGGCACCCCCGCTTCGGTAGCCCGACGACCTG